AAGAACACTATGTTACCCATTTGGTGGTCACAGTGGCGGCTTTGAGGGAGTTGCTCTAGGCACCATGCCTAGGCCCCCCCACCTTTAAAGGCCCCACCTTTGTATTTTTTTCTTTGTAAAAATAGTAAATAAATAGTTAATGAAACAAATAAATAGTAATGAAATTAATAATGGCATAAAAGAGTATTAAAATGCATTACCTTTACATCACTCGAGTTTGTTTAAAAAAAATTAAATTTCCTTTTTAAAGTATAAGTGATTTACAATGCTAATGTTTTTAAAGACACCTGAAAAAGTCTCACTGATTAATTTATGTTCTTAATTATTATATTTATTTCTAAGTAAATTAAAGTTACATTTTTAGAGAAATTGTTTTTATCTTTTTAACTGAATAGTAAGAAAGTGATTATAATGTACTAAAGCTATTATAATTGTTTATAAAACGTTCTTCATTTATAAAAATCATGTTAATATTTTTCTTGAAATATTCAAATCTTTCTTGAAATAAACTAAAGCATAGAGTATTGTATTACATCTTGTTATTGATGTGTTGATTGTTTAGAAATCCAATTTTACTTAGACTTCAAACAAATTGATAATGTTTTCTATTGTAAAAATGGAATTTTTAAATACATATAAAACTACTATCCATATCCCACAAAATTTGGCCAAATGGACATTGTTTTGTCAATGGTAGTAAATTTTGGACAACTTCAATTATTCTAGTCATTATATTTGCATCAAATTTATACATTTCATATCTTTATGAAAGTAATTTTAACAAATGAATTTTGTCATTAAACTTTCATATTTTAAATAGTTTTGTATTAAAAAAATATAACGTGTCTAACTTGATCATCACTGAGTAAGAGATTTAACATGGACAAGTTCTCTTGAATTGAAAAAGCATATAATAACATCGAAATGTTAATAATCATTTTTCAGATCAGCGCAACTATTTTGTTTATTATTTTTTTTATATAACTTTTGTGGTGCTCTTTTGTCTAGGGTCTGAAATCTTCTGAGACCGCTCCTGGGTGGTCGTCGATTCGCGTTACGTTTTTTGAGGTGACCATATCAGAGTCTGATCATAAGACGTTTCTTCAGTTTATTAGATGTGTTTATTAGAAGATAAGTAGGGGATTTTGAGCTATTGACCGTTATAACTCTCGATTCATTTGATATGTTTTTTTAGAGAAGAAAGTTTAAATTATATTAATACCAAGCACTATTACATCATCACCCTTAAACCTACCCCACTTTCTCATCTTTCTTAAGCCAACATCTCCTCTCACTCTCTGATCAGACGTGAAATAGACCACCCAAAACTTAGCGAGACTATTTGCTGAACATACGAGTGATTTGAAGCTATTATCGGCTCAAACAGCCTAATCACTTCCAAACAATCTCCTACCAACCAGAACACACATCAAAACCCTCCTACCACCCTTAGAGTCAATAACAACGATACAATAAAAGTGCTGAAACATAAACTTAAAGTAAATGCCAATAAATAACTAGTAATCAACCGATGAAGACTATCCACTCCATCTTTATTCTGAAACATCTGCAAACTTGTTAATGATGAGTTAGGAAAGTTGGCAAGTTTCTGAGCTGCAACTCGCCTCCTTCCCCCTTTTTAGCCCCTGCGTCTCTATCTCTATGTTGCCTTCCTCATCCTGGATGACCCTCCTACGCTTTTGCTCAGCCCTATTATCTATCTGCTTCTGTGCTTCTCCTGTATCCAAGGACATCTTATTACCAAGTCCATTCTCCACTCCCTCTTTTTTTTGAGCCAGACTCTTCCCGGCCGATACTAGCCACTTGTTATCTCCAAACTGAGAATTACCCTAAGTAGCCCAACGACATGGCCCGTACGGTTTATTCCCCGTTCTTATGCACCCCTCAGGGTTGCAAGGACAATATTTCTCAGTGTGCCCAATAATGGCGCACAAGAAATAGAAACAGGGCAACTTCTCATAACGGAAGGTGACACGGAAATTAACCAGGGGCGGATCTAACAAGGGAGGAGGGGGGCAGCTGCCCCCAATAACAGTCAACTAGACCCTATGATTTGCTAGTAAATATTGGAAATCCATGTATTTGCCCCCAATAAAAAATTTTGGTTGCCCCCTATAACCGAGTTGTCCGACTTAGCCGCCCAAAAGTGGATAAATCTGAAATTCAGATTTCAGAATCAATCAATTGGGACCAAACTCACTTGAGATTCCAAAGTTTGGAATGAAATGGAGCAGGGGAGTAGCGACCAAATGCTATATAAGTTTAATAGCCCCTGGTCATAGGTTAAGAGTGTGCTGCGTGTACGTAGCAAATGTCCTTAGTCCTCCACTCCTCTGTACGTATTAGGTCAAAATGAAATAATATGCGAAACGCCGTATTAGGTATTAGATAGTTAAATAACTTAATATTTTAAAATTGTAATTTAATTTTAAAATGAAATCTATTCTATGTACAAATCAAATAAGGAGAAAAAAAGTTGAAATCATTACAATGGAATTATAATTGATTTCTTCGAAAAAAGTGCAAATAAACGTGTAGAATTGTGATGTTTTTTGTAAAAGCTTTTGCTATTCACTACAAAAAATTAATGGGATTGGCAGGGATTTGTCAAAATTCATAGTGGAATTGGAACGAATATGCCTAATGCATCAAAAACATTTTGTCACGAGCTATTTGGTACTATCGAAATCATCGATCAATCCATTTCAAATTCATATCAATCCCATAATTTGTTGTAGTGATTTTATGTAATAATAAAATATAGAGTAGTATTTTATTTAATTTTGTTCTTGTGATGTGCTACTTAAGTATTCTGCGCCCAACAAGTTTTCTTTCTGAATCCGCCACTGAAACTAACTCCCTCTTTTTGTAAAACTAGCTTCTTTTTCGAAGGCCTTGTTAGATCCAGGCTCACTCTTATTCTCATAAACTGGTTCCATTTAACCGAGAAATTATGTTCATGAACCTTATGAACCTTCCCACAAAGTTCCCAATTTTCACCGCATTTCCTCGGAAAAGAAAGCCACCCGAATATCATGCACTTGAACCCAAAACTCAATAGTGTTCAGGGGGGCTACCATAGGCAAATCCCCCTCCCCGAGTTTAGCCATAACGATAAGATTTTGATCAAATATCCATGGACCATCCTCCAAAACATGAAACATATCATGCACATTATAAAGTTGGAACAAGTAACGTCTATTACCCAGCTCAGTGATAGTAATTCCTTTGACCGGCCTCCAAATAAATGCCATAGTGTCTCGAAAAGTGGTAAAACGCACCGACTTCTCCAATGTGATGGTCCCAACAAGAGCTAAATTTCCATCTGCCGCACTCGAAGCCGTTGCTTCCACCAGGATTATCTCATCTTCATCTTTCATCTTCCATTTTCCGTATGCCTCGGCCAATTGCTCTACCTCACGTTGTCCAGAAAAAACCTCCATTCCGTGTGCTAAATAATCCTCCAACCGTCCTCTGTCTCGCGACCTCTGCTCCTTAGTAATCACTCACCATTGAGACCAAAAGATTAATCCCCAACGAGGTCTGAAGGAAGGTTCTTTGTCAGCCTGCTTCGCCTTCCTTGCCACCGCCGAACTCATCTTGCCTAACAGCCAAACTCGTCTTGCCTAACCGCTGAACTCGTCTCGCCTCTGCTTGCTTCGCCTACCTTCCCGTATATTTCGATCGACATAGAAAACTGTTCAATACCAATAGCCTAAACCATAGGCTCTTTCGCTGTTGTGTTTTGATATGCTAATATAAGTTTCATTTCCTTTCAAAAAGACATATCACAATGTGTATTAATTAATTTCTTAATTATTTAGGGAAACAAATCAAAGGAAAACATTACTTATAATAGTTTAATCAAATGATTCATATCGTTACATCAAACTCAATGAGACCAACATTGACAACAACTATCCGCAACCAACAATTGCTATCAACCTTACGGTTAGACATGTAAACGACCATTCTTGAAAGCGCAATACAAATTCCTAAACACCAAACAAGTTTGACACAACAATGCAACATTTTTGTAACGATCTAAATGATATAATTACTAGCTAAATTGCCAATCATTTTTGTAAACCTAAAACTATAGACTTCAACAAAAAACAAAGCAACGTAAATAAACATAATGCGAAAATAAGACCATAAAAAATAAATTAACTGATAAAAACTCCAAACATCCATACACCATCATTCTATCGTATCCCAACTCCTTCCTGCCAGATTACTTGAAACATCATCTTCCAAAACACTGACACCTCGGCCGCTCCAAGGAAGCGGCTCAGGAGGGGGGCGGACCTTCAATCAGTCATCTCCCTTGCTCAGTCTTTCACCTCTCGTCGCCCGTGCCGCCTTCTAGTATGGTCATTGTGTTTCTGCCAATTGTACCCAACTTCTCCCCTACTCCACCACCCTCCATCCCTCTGCAGCTTGAGCGCCGAAATAACTACCCAAAAAATGTGGACGACACAAAGCACGACTCCAAATCCTATACTCTCTCTCCCGTTCAATGGCAATCAATCTCATGCTTTCTCGTTGGAGAAGCAAAAAGCCAAAATCAATGCCAACAACTTTGTGCGGCTGCAAACCCTAGCGCAGACCTCAGTTGCTCACTTCCGCTTTTTTTGGTTACCTAGATGTTTTTTTATTGACAATGTTAGAATGTAGGGAAAATGATATTGATGAAGTTTATATACTCCTTTCGTGCCGCTAAGATTGTCCTATATTTTCTTTTAGATTCATCCCATTAAGATTATCTCATATCAAATTTGATAAAATTTGTGGGATTCTAAATCATTATTACTTTATTCTTACTTTATCAATTTAATATCAATAACCTAAACTCACTTTTATTGTTAGTGAGGAGAAGAAATTATTGTTTGAATTCTATATTTAAATTTTTAGAAAATACAGAGATCAAAGATAGTTTAAGAGGTGGAGTGACGCTCATAAAAGTGATAAAACTGTAGATTTGTATCAGTGTGCGACTGTATGGACGTATATGTGTATACGTATATAAAGATTTATTTTAGGCTCGAAAAAAAGTTCCACGTGTCCTATTGTGCAACTTCAGTTGCTCTACCGCTACGGCAGGTGTTAACCACCACCACCACAAGTGGGTGAGTTTAGGGTAGCTTCTTCACTCATCAATCAGTGTGTACAGAGAGATGGACTGTTATTGCGGTGCAAACAGGACACTACCTTCTTGCTCAGCCATCTTCAATTTCCAGGTATTTAAATCTTTTGGAAGTGAATGCTTTCTTGTATCTTCCTTTATATGTGGCGATAAACAAGGGTAATTTTGGTAATGATAGGAAGCTGTGATTCACTTACCAAGTTTATGCGATTTTCTTCATATGTGTGATTTGGGTAAAGTGGTCAATTAAATAAGCTTCTCAGTCTTTTTAGGTTGAATATTAGTTTCAGATTACCATTTTAGCAGCAGTATGAGCACATTCAGCTGTTTAAGCCAAATCTACTCCCACCAAATGGGCTACTTTGTTGATATTAGTTGTTTTGGTTTTGAGCATTAGCAGGTAATATGTAGTCTATAGTTCATTGCTATTCAAAGGTAAAGTCTTTTGTAGAGATTCAAGTTGAAAGATGTTCTGATTAAGCTGCTCACTTCAACATAACTTGTGTGTCTTTTGCACTACATATTTTTAGTAACTTATTAGTTGTAATTGGAATTGCAGGGTGTTTCATACTTTCATGTAGGATATTCTGTAAAACTTTCTAAACCTTGCCATCGGCTTAAGACCAAAGCTCAACCTTCTTTAAGTAAAAAAAGCTCTCTGAATCACGCTTTTGGAACACATAAGGGCCCCTTTGCCCAAGCCAGACCCCAACCTTGGGATCTTGGAAGATTTCTCAGTACATTGTATTATTTTAACAGGCCTCCCTCCCCTTCCAAGGTTTGGTTCCTTTCTCTTATAGTTTTGTCTTTTTTTTTGTAGTTTTTGCTACTTTTGCATATGTTTGGATGTTTTAGGCTCCGTTTGGCATCCATAATCGGATTCCACTGCTTATCAGCAGAATATTAAAAATATGTTGTTTTTGGCTTACATATTTTGCTGAAATGGATTTTACCTAACATTTTTTCTTTCTGAAAAGTCGGCATATTTATCCATTTAAGCTAAATTACTGTTACCAAATGTGCTTTTAAAAACATCTAACAAGTTTGGTCTTTTTGTGAAGTTCTTTGAGTTTGTGATTGAAAAACTATCAGGCACGTCGCCTAGTAAACCAGTAAAGGCGATGGATGCTTCTGGAATAGTTCTAGTTGCGGGGGCCACAGGAGGTGTTGGAAGAAGAGTGGTAGATATCTTGCGTAGCAAAGGTTTGCCTGTTCGTGCACTGGTACTTAACAGCAACACACCGCCCTCTTTAAATAGCAAATAAGGATTAGAGAGATATAAAGACAAATGCAATTAGATATACTATTGATATCTGCGAGACAAAATTCTTTCAGGTCAGAAACGAAGAGAAGGCAAGAAAAATGCTTGGTGAAGACGTTGATCTGGTGAGTTAATCTACTACTCCCTCCGTCAAAAACGAGTCATCCGAAACATTTTTTTTGTCCGCAAAGAAGAGGATTCCGTTTTGATCAAACTAAGTTAGTTTTCATGTAAAGCAATAGCCAAAAAGTCATGCACAAAAGATAAATTCAGATCCACACAATGGTTTTTGTTCTCACATCATCACATGTTAAAAACCACACACACTGTTTGAGCAAAAAATCTTGTTGCACAATTGCTCTCAACTTGGTTAAACAGAAGTAAAATTTTAAAGTAATAAAGTGTAAGTATGGTTCTGAATCAGAATATACTTATGTAAAAGAGTTGATTGACTACTGTAAAACTTGTCACCTGCACTTCACCAAATTGTAGAAGTTTTATAATTAGTCAATCAAGACTCTTAAGCCTCTTGTTCAGGAAAAAGTTATGCCCTGTAATAATAAATTAGTGAACTGCATGACAGACTTTAAATATTCTGTTCTCTTTCACCTTCAGTGGAGTTGTGTATAAAAATGGTTGAGACCGCAGGCTCTTTATTCCCTTTTTTGCATATCTTTTTATTATTTTTATTTTATTTTATTTCTCTTTATTATGACGTTGCAGTCATCAAATGAATTCAGGCATGCTAAGTGAAACTTAATGGCCTTGAATGAAATTTGAAGCTCATGAGTTAAGGCCTTTTATTTTAATATTTACCGATGTTTCATGTAGAAAGTGATCTATTGCATAGTTGCATATTAGCAATTTGGGGATCTATTGATTTTTAGCATGATTGTGCTAAATATTCAGATTGTAGCTGATATAACCGAGGCTGGCTCTCTGCTCCCGGGTCATTTTAATGGAGTGAGAAAGGTTATCAATGCTGCTTCAGTTATTGTTGGCCCCAAGGAAGGGGATACCCCTGACAGGGCTAAATATAGTCAGGTAAACAATTAAGAGGAACCTTGTCTAATACTAACTTTAGTAACGTAGTAGAACCAATTTTGAATTTATTGCTATCAGTTTCACCATCTTTAACGCCATGGTCCTGATTCATACCAGTTTATGTTCGATGGAATGGAATTGTCAATTAATTGTTTAACATTAGCTAACGCTATATATTCATGCAACAAACATACTGATACAGTTATGAAGGAATATAGAAACGAAGTTCCTAAACTGTCATCGTTATATGTTTTTTTGCCACGTATGGATATTATAATGAGATGTCGATAAGTTGAAATAACTGCTATAGTCAGGTCGCATTACTAGATTGATTTTGTTAAATGAAATGCACATGGAATATGACGAATTTGTGTTTCAGTTTAAATGTGTCATGCATCTCGTGTTTTTTGACAGGGGATCAAGTTCTTTGAGCCAGAGGTGATCAACTTATTCCACATGACTTCTTGAGTTGGATCGTTTTTATCTTATATGGATTAACTGACATACTGACGTGTTCCTTCTTTCACTCTCTTTGAATTACTTGTCATCCTCATTTTCATGGGGGAGCAGATAAAGGGCGCTTCACCTGAGATGGTCGAGTACATTGGTATGAAAAATTTAATAAATGCAGTGAAGGAAAGCGTCGGGCTTCATATGGGAAAACTTGTATTTGGATTTGAAGGTTAGATCTTGTGATTATGAATGTTATAAGACCTACCAAATGCAGCCATGCAGGGGCTATTCAGTCAATGTGGAATCGTTCAAAGAAAGTATTTACTTGTAACACCCCGGCCCCGTAGGCCCCGAGGTAGTTACTTCGGGCCTCTAGTACTGTCCTCACAAACCACCACGAGCCTTTACCGCGCACTTTTTCCTCACTCATGCGCGCCCTGAGAAACTTCCCAGGGGGTCACCCATCCCAAGACTACTCTCGTGCAAGCACGCTTAACTTTGGAGTTCTTGGGTGATGAGCTCCCTTAAAAGGAGATGCACCTCTGTTGGTATGAGTACTATTAATCCTCTTAAATTAATCTCAGGTATTACAATCACCCCCACTTAGGATCGCAACGTCCTCGTTGCGCCCTTGAACCAATCTCAATAAAACCCCAGAATCTTGCCCCGCTAAGTGCCCGCCCGATATCTAACGGGTCAGCACACTGTCGCAGGGTTGCTCTGATACCATTTGTAACACTCCGGGGCCCCACACGGACCCGAGGTAGTTACTCTAGACCTCTAGTACTGTCCCCACAAACCACCACGAGCCTTTACCGCGCACTTTGTCCTCACTCATGCGCGCCCTGAGAAACTTCCCAGGGGGTCACCCATCCCAAGACTACTCTCGTGCAAGCACGCTTAACTTTGGAGTTCTTGGGTGATGAGCTCCCTTAAAAGGAGATGCACCTCTGTTGGTATGAGTACTATTAATCCTCTTAAATTAATCTCGGGTATTACATTACTCTTCTTTGTGAAATCACAAATACATTTAATTTACTGAACCATACTGAAAAAGAAAATGCCAACTCTTGAAAGATCATATAGTTATGCCATAATTACTAAAATGCATAAAAAATGAGTTTTCAGCATGTCTATGTTTTGCTTATATAACAATATGACAATACATGCACTCCAAGTTAGTCTGTTATATTTTATATTATCAGTTATCACATTGATGAGGCCTGAGGAGTAATAGTCATATAATGATGCCAATTAAATAATTAATTAAATTCTTGTTAATAATGAATTACTAACTAGTACAAAAAATGATATATTTTGTAATAATGATATTGTAATAATTGATAATTTATAGATATTCAGCAAATTTATTTACCTCTCTCAGTCCCCTTTCATTCTGCAAAATTGTTCTACACCCAAGGTAGTCAAAGTCGTGAGGCGCACTTAAGGCGCTAGAGTACAACTCGCCTGAGGCACAAGGCGCAAAAAAGCGCTCGCCAGACTCGTGTCAGGCGCACCATCTATGTAATACTCTATAAAATATATACCATAGTTATAATTTTAAAATATAAAACAAGTTAGAAAAAGAAACAAACAAAACTAAAAGAAGAAACTTGCTAATTGCTAGGAGCCTAGGATATAAAGTATAAACAGAAGAAGAACATGACAGATAAAAGAAAGAAAAAAGATGATGAGATGAAAATAAACTTGCACTTATATTGTCCCTCACTCAGACAGCCTCGCCTGGAAGAGTATAAGGCGCTGCACCTCTATAGCGCCTCACCTGGTGTGCTTAAGCCATTAAGCGCCCAGGCGCACACTTTTGACTACACTGTGTACACCTAAAATTGCTTACTAGTTTTTCCTGATTACTCATTTTATTTTACTGTTAGACATTGCAATAAACATCCTCTTATGTCACTTCATTTTGAATAAATGTGCAGACAATTCATCTCGACCACTTGAATGGGGTGCCTTAGATGATGTTGTGATGGGAGGAGTAAGTGAAAGCACATTTGTGATAGATCCAACTGGCGGAGCAGATGGTAAACCAACAGGGGTTTTCAAAGGTTTGCTTGTAGTATAGACTTTTTAGTATAGAATCTCGAAGTACTTCATGATCAATGGCAAATACGTATGCACAACACTTCAATATATTTTCCTTACTCTGTGAGTCTGTGAACAGGAAATGTTACCACTGCAAATAATGGGGGGTTTGCAAGTACAAGGACAAAGGTGAAGATTTCTTTCATACATTTTCTAGCGCTTGGTGCATTTCATGCACTCTTGGTTCTATTCATATATTAATTTTTACATCCAATGTTCTGAATTGTGGTCCACCAATCTACCCATCCAAAATGGTTCTTCATACGGAGTATAATATAGTGGATGGTCTTTTTTGGTCTAATACTCTTTATTGTTTCTCTTTCCATATTTCCAAAATATACTGACTCAATTTTTTATTCTTTCTATCTCTATTGGTTAGTCATAGACTATAATTTTAACTACCCCCTCCATTCACTTTTTCTGACTCCAATAGGTATTAGATGGAAATTTAGGGTAAAGGTTTAAGGTAGAGAAGATTGAAGAAAGGGAGAAAATAATTGGAGAGAAAATGAAACTGTAGGAAAAGAATATTTAGGATATTTATATAGTTTGATATAATAGCAGTTTCCAAAAATGGAAATATGAGCAAGTAATAATAAACTTTCCTAAAAAGAAAACAGAGCAAGTATAAGGAGTATTATATGTTTAGTTAAATCCTCTATTTCTATATCAGTTTTCATATTCACTTTCCAATCATCTAAATAATCTATTTCATATTCACTTTCTTTCCAACCAAACAAGGGCTATGTGTTGGATACTACTTGGATGCATACGCTGTAAAAGTGAAATTGTAGCAGCTATTGAATGTTTAGTTAGCCACTATTTCAGATGGTATTGGATTTGAACAAGATTTATTGGGTGTAAGTTTAACGGCATGCTCAGCATTATATTTTAACTTAAAACACTTTCTTCCCTCCTTCTTTTACCTCTTTTGAAAGACTGAAAGTTTTTTTACTGACCTCTTATCCTTTTGTGCATCTTCAGAACTTTTCTGTACCAGAAGATCTTTCTGCGTATGATGGTCTAGAGTTGCGGCTGAGAGGTGATGGCTGTCATTACAAACTTGTAATTCGAACTAGCCGTGATTGGGACACTGTGGGTTATACAGTTAGCTTTGACACAATGGAGGGTCAATGGCAATCGGTTAGTGGCATCTATCATTCTAATGGAAGGACTTCATTTATCACTACCTCTGTCACATTGAGTTTGGGCATGGAATATGGCACAAATATTAAGCATGGGATTCTGTGGTTGAAATTGAATTTGTAAAAGTAAGATTGACTATAAGTCTATTTAAGCTACAAATTATGAGGTTTGCTGGTTTGGTATGGGACGACAAGTTTAGTGGGACGAACTAAAAAAAGAAAGATAAGACAAAAATACTGGGGCGAAGGGAGTATATTTTATATCAAAATAAACCAGATGGTAAACTTATCATAATCAAAGCTCCTGATGCATTGGATCATATCCTAATAAGTGGCCGCTTGGTAACCATTTTTGGCTTATCAACCTTATTATCTACGTCTGTACCAAATGCCATTTTTTTTTGCATTGCTGAATTGATTCCATGGGTCATCCGGAAACAGTTCTTGTTGGATGGGGTGGTCCTTGTCAGGTCATGCTGAGTGGGTGCTAGGTAGAAACCCCTCGTGCATAGGTGAGATTAGGGACGCGGTGTCAATGTGTTCCTTTTGCTGGACTTGGCTGGAGCTTTAACTTGAGGATGTGGGCCATGGATCTAGGCTCATATATTCCTCAAGTGATGAATTCTTCCCTTTTTTCATAATTTCTTCATTATTTTACCAATGGTTTATGTTTCTAATTTTTCAAAATTCAACAATTTCAGCCGAATTACCCTTACCAAGCGCCCTCTAAAATACAACTTAAAGATCAAACTAGGGGACAAAGCGGCATTTTAAAAATTAAAACGTGTGGTGCGTTATATTTAATCTTTGATGGCCTACTGTCTAGATTCGGTTGCCTTTCTCTTCTCTGAGGCCAATTTTTCGAGCTCGGACAGTACTGGATGCGCCACCTTTCGACCCAAGCCAAATTATATCATTGCAGGTAACTTGTTACTCTCTTTGGCTTTTCTTTGGTTGTGTTGACATCAATTTTAAGTTTATTTTGATGAAGTATTGTCATAAGCAGTTGATGCTCAGTAAATTCGAGTACGATGGCAAACTTAACCAAAATTTCAAAGAAGGTCCTTTTCAACTTTCTTTATCACACATTCGTGCATACATTGAAGATCCCATCACTCCCAGGTAATGAATTTCAAATATATTGGCTATCCATGTTTGACTTTGATTGTCAGTGCTCATTATATAAACCCGACAGTTAATTATTTATTTATGAGGTGTTAATATTTACAGGTTTGTACATGTAGGGTCTGCGGGTGTCACTCGACCTGAGAGACCAGGACTAGATTTGAGCAAACAACCTCCTGCTGTGCGTTTGAACAAGGAACTTGGGTACATTTTGACATTTAAGCTAAAGGTGATTTGTTGTCTTTGTGCACCCTTTTCTTAATTTTAATTGGAATGGTTATTCTATTACTTATCTCAGTTTATGTTAGCTTACATCCTTCAATATCTTTAATTTCTATCAGGGAGAGGATTTGATTAGGGAAAGTGGAATACCATATACAATAGTGAGGCCCTGTGCTTTGACGGAAGAACCTGCCGGTGCTGAACTCATTTTTGATCAAGGAGACAATATAACAGTATGAACTCTCTAGTTGTCCATACTGGTCTAGTTCTGAATATTTATCACATTGATATATTTTTTATATGGTATGGACATGTGCAGGGAAAGATATCCAGGGAAGAAGTTGCCCGGATATGTGTGGCTGCTCTCGAAAGCCCATATGCATGTGGCAAAACATTCGAGGTTGTGACTTCTTTCCTTCAAGGGTTAGCTGTATTTAACTTCTCTGAGATCCTGTTGAATTTGTCATAAATTACACCCCTATTTCCACAGTATAATAGATTATAATGCTACATTCCTACTAATGACATATTCACATAATAAAATTTCCATCATGTGTCGTCACCGACTCACTTATGAAAAATTCGACTTGTTATGTGTGACAGGTCAAGAGTGTGATTCCATTCAGTGAGACATACACAGTGGATCCTGAAAACCCCCCAAAAGAGAAAGATTACGATGTTTACTTCCGAACTCTGAAAGAAGGGATTACTGGGAAAGAAAGCCTAGAGCAGCAAACACCCGTTCCATGAAGGAAAAATGTTTCTAAGGTTCCTTGATTTTTATTTCTATGTAATTATTTACAATTTACATTTATTTTTCAGGATTCAGGATTACACATTTCATCTGAAAGTAAAAGCTACTACGTACATACTAAAATTACATTAAGGAAAAAGTTGATATATTAACATATAAATCAAAAGGATAGCTAGATTGGCTTAATTCTTTCGTTGTATGCTAGGTTCTGCTTTCTGAGATTCTCTTTGGAGGACACAACCATGCCTGCAACTTGTTTCGAAGGATTAAAAAATAAAAAAAAATTAGGCATAATTTTCTTGAAATTTCCAAGGAAAAAAGCAAAATCTAATACGTAAAAGAATAACAAATTGGAAGCTGATGTAGTAAGCAAGCAGTAGTAACATCTTACTTGGAAACAATGCCTTCTTCTCCTATGTTGTCTTCTTCTACTCAAAAGTTTGGTTAACTTGGCAGCCATATCTCTGTCAGAGAGAATCTTTTCAGCTGAGCTCAAGAATGCAGTCCTTTGAATGGGAGGAGACCACAGACCACTCTTAGAATAATCAAATCCAAATTCTGACACATCTGTGTATTTTGAGAGAAGATTCCCTGAGACTGACATTGAAACCATCTGAGTTCTCAATGGAGAGGATGAGACTTGTGAGATACTCATTTGATGTCTATATTATTATTTGACAGTGCTCTAGCTAGTTCTTTCCAACATATAAGGCCTCATACTCTAGTGGGAGAAAATACATTGGCTTTGTTTAGTTATTAGTGTGCTTGCCAGCACACTATTGTATTTTAAATATGAAAGTATGAAACATTGCTTTTTTTTTTAACGTTTTTGGTTGTCAACATTGCTTTTAAAAGGAGAGATTGGACACAAATGAGAAGGCCCCGGACATAGCTTGAGCAGAGAGGAAAATGTGGGAATAAAATGTTGTAAGAAAAAGTTTTTTTACTAATTTGGTACCTGAAAGATAGACCAGTTACATATCAAGTACCTCAAATTAGGACCTAAAAGGATTTTCCCTCACTTATTACAAATCAAATACTCCGTATAACGTAAAGAATGAGTGTTGGTGACTTTAATCTCGATTAATACTTTCACTCATGAACTTCTAGCTAAAACCTAAAATGATGATTTTCATAAATAATATTCCCTCCGTTTCTATATAAAAGCTCCTATTCGTTTTACACAATTTAAGAAAGTGGAATTTTTTGACATTGTTTGGCACTGTTTCGACATTGTTTGCCAATAAAGGAAAGGAGACTTTTATTTAGTGATGGTCTGAAAAGGAAAGGAGACTTTTAGTAGTTTAAATTGATAGATGACCCATCCAAGCTCCAGAATCTGTATAGTTCCATTTTAAAAGTGTACTTGCTAACTCATAACCTTCTCCTATTATTTAATTATGCAATTTGCATACGCATCCATTCACTAGATTATTATATGAAAAAGTGATTGTGGGGATGGGTATCATATGATGATAATGCGATTGGACTTGAAACATCATGTGATCAGGCCCAAGAAAGATGAAGTGGCAACTTTTAGTCTTATATTGCAATAATGCAACTATATTGCAATTTACTCTCTTCTATCTCAACATAAATTCATATTTCCATTTCTCTTAAAGATCATGTGGTTTATACGGAGTATTATTCTATTTTAATCATCGTGTCAATATTTAGAACAGCGAGATGAAAGCGGTGCCGGGTGAGCTTTGGATTGAAACCTGTAAATTACTATAAACAAGAAATCTTTTTGAAAAGTAAATAAAATGACGATTTCCTGATAGAGCGGAAAAGGAAATGTAAAAGTTATTTCAAGATAGAGCATCATTATCATAAAAAGGCTACATGGCTTGATGAGTAACTGTCTAACAAATGTATTGTGCCTTTTTATCAGTGTGATTAAATCTTTTTTTTTTTGTAATTTCCTGCCCTCCTTTCGATTTGAAATGCGAAATGGTAAACAAACATTAATACGTAGCATTTAGATCATTTGCTTCTCGTGACGGGCTTTTCTGGCAGTTGATATCCTTGTGTGGGTTGTATCTTTTTCTAGTTCTTGTACGTGAGATTCTGTGGTTTGAGTTTGTGTTTTGTTTTGTATTTTCGTTCTGGTCTTTGTTTGGCTGCCTTGAGAGTGTCGGGTCTAGCTCGCCGAGAGATCGAGTTCTACTTTCGTCCCTAGCGTTGGATGCTTTCTCCCAAGTCTTTTTTTGCCTAGTTTTGTTTTTTCATTTACCTTGCAACATGTATCTGTTTTTATTGCATTGTTTTGTTATGGAAGAGCTTGAATTGGGGCAGTTTATAGCAAACTCTCGATTGATGAGGAAGAGGAAGCATACCTCATTTTCACAAGAGAGTTGGTTAAAGGGAAAGGGGAACCAACGAGGGGCAGTTCACCCAATTGTTTTTTGGGTGACTATGGCAATGTTTTGGCGCCCGGTGAAGGGTCTTAACATTAGCATTGAGGAAATTGGTGCTTGCGGATTCTTGGTTCTTTTCTATCATTATGCGATACTAATCGTGTGCTACGTGATGGTGAATGCAATCATGAAACTCAATGCTTGAATATGAATTCGAATAGAATTAAATCTTTGCATAATCATGCTCTATCTATTCGAATCAGATCTCTACTAATGTTAAAAGTGTTGAAACGGAGAATGGAGATCCATCATGAAGGAGGTAATTGGTTCTGGGCTGACTTTAGGTAGTTTGATGAGCTTACATGCATGTTTAATCATAAAAAAATAACTAAAATACATGATTTATTTTTGCTAAATATATTCATTGTTCCGGGATGTTCTATGCACGACTAATTATAACACATGCAACATGAGCTGATGCAAATGAGTAGCATTTAAATCATTTACAAAGAAAATCTAGAAGCATTTAAAAAACACTTAGCTTCAACTTTCAGCTTTTAGCGTTTAAATGTTCAATTTACGTTAAAATAGATATTAAAAACACTTTTTTCATCATTTTTAATCAAAAAGCTGAAAACACTATTTTAAGCTCCCACAAACCCTCCCTTAAACACATTCTTTGTCCAATATAGTTAAAACAAAAACTAAATACAAAATGAGGGACATAAACCAAGGCCAACCTCCATCCAATTGGCATAGCCTCAAGGGATACAACAAACCAAATAAGGGGCACCTGAAGCCCAAATCATAATTTATAAACAAACAGCGAAAATGAACTAAAACGCTGGAAAAATACCAAACATATCACTACCAGAAAGAAATGTGTGCAACAAGAAGGTAGTAGCAAGAAAAATGCATTTTTGGTGCACGTGCGGGTTTCTTCCATCTTATCTTTGGTGCTGTCATAAATCATATTGCTAGCATCAAATTAAACTTCAATTTTTTTCAAATTCAAGTTATTGCATACTTCCAATCCCAGCAATAAGGAGCTTCACACTTCCCGCCAAACACCCCGAATAATACTAATACCACCTCCGTCCCATATACTATTTATGGTAGTCATGTCCTTTGTCTCGGATTTGTCTCCAAATTTACGAGACGGAGTTTGGCTCGGAAGTTCCGAGCCAATTTTGCTGCGATGACCCAAGGGTTAATGATTCTGTGCCAAGACTATATCAAATTTATTTGTAGTGCATTTCGGTTGATTTTAGCACATTTTGATCGGTTTTTGTCGGCAGATTTCGGTTGGATTGGGATTTTAACCTAAAAGTATAAATCGTAAACTGAACCGCCAACAAATTAGTTAATTTCAGTTTCATTCGGCTCAGTTTTGGTCAATTCGATCGGTTTGTCGATTGATTTTGATTTTTTCGATTTTTTGTTTACCCCTAAATTAGGAGATGCGTGTACGTACTTACATATAAGCCAACTGTTAATTCTCGCCATTATATAAGAAAATTTTCACTATACAGTTGCACGAAGTTAATAATTTCTAGGTTATACGGATGAAAAAAAAGAAATTACATCGTAATGTAAAAAGAATGGTCCCTAATTTTATTTTCTCTATATTACACCGATTGTTTTTTAAAGAAAAACACTTATTTATTAATAATAATGAAAGTGACAAGAGACAAAGCAAACCAATAGCTCAGAGCTACCCTGGTATGACACACAGAACTGACCAGCCTCTGAGGACCCGACGAGTTCGCTAACCCCTCATCCTGGTAAGCTAATCTAACAACATTGTTGTACTTGCTACTAAAATAAATCGACAAAGAACTAGTGTTATTAAACTGGAAAGAACAAATAAAATCATATATCTTGGTTTTTCCAGCCACCAGCAAGGAAGAAGATGTTTGATCAACCACCTCCAAAGAAGTCATTCCGATTTTACCAGCCACCTGGAAGGGATAAGAGGTTTGTTCAACCACCTCCAAAGGGAGCATCCCAATTTTACCAGCCACCGGGAAGGGAGAAGAGGTTTGTTCAGCCACCTCCAAAGGAATCATCTCATCTATTAGTATTTTAGGTGGTTTTGTTACAGGAGCACCACCGCCTTGCTGTTTTTTGACTCCTCCAAAGCACCTGACTCAAACACCAAACCCTGCTCTCTTTATCATCAATTGACATTCTTCTATAAGCTTGATTTGAGCTCTCCATTAATAGAAACAAAATTACCACCGACTTCGAAACAAAGAAAAAGAAGTAGCATAACACACGATCTTAAACCCAAACACGTTCACAATCGGAACGGACCAGACCCTCGACCAGAGAAAATTCAGTCGATAGAATAACACATGAAAAAACTAACAATGAAGAAAAAACTAACAATGAAGAAAATTGACTGAACCACACCTAAATTGCGTACCTTGCCCATAAAGTCGTTCCAATCTTCTCCATTGTTGGATAAATCGGAAGAGATGGTTAGGAGACCGCCGCACTCTCTTAGGGTGTGTTTAGGAGCTTGAGGGTGAGGGAAGGGGAAGACTTTGAAGGGGTTTAGGGAGAAGGGAAGGGGAGAGAGATGGGAAGGGATTCCCTCCTCTTGTTTAGGAGTTGCAAATTTCAAAAGAGGTGGGTTTGGGGACTTGAGGGATTTCAGCGGCGAAGAAATGAAGCGAGTAGCAGTTCATAAAGATTTTATGCGGAAGCGGTTTTAGTTTCAGAGGATAAATCTCTCATTTGCGTAGCTAGACCTTATAAAACCATCAAATCAGGGGAATTAGAAACTTAGGTTTGGGAGTGTTTAGAAGGATTTTATAACACCCCCAAAACCTTTTCTCATATTATTTAAACCCCCAAACATAAATAGGAGGGTTTATTTCCCTCATATGCCTTTCCCTCCCCTCCAAAAACCAACTCCCAAAAACATCCTTAGGGTTTACCCATCAGCTGCGGACCGAAGAATTATTTCGAACGGTACCAAAAGTTGGTACAAGACGTACACCAATTATTTTATTAAGTAACTATATCAAGTAAGTGTAGAATGAGTTTTTGAAATAGGAGTATTATATTTTTATGGAGAAATTAATAAGAATAATTCCTACCTTGATCGGTTAGTAACTTTTGATTTGAAGTTTTAGCATTATTCCTTTTTTCTCCTATTTTCGACTAATCACCCGTCCCCTCTGCATCTTATTTTGTGTAAGGAGAATTTCTCCGTACTTTATTACTAGTTCGTTTTCCTTTAATTTCCTTCTTCACTGGTCTTTTATCGAGGGGCGGATCTATGTAGGGGCTGAAGTCCACTCCAGTCCAACCCAGCCCAATTTATTTTTATTACTCCATCCGTCCCATAAAGATTGACCAATGTTGATTTGCAAGTAGATTAATAAAGTAAAAACTGTGTGGTTGATATTTGTGCAGAGGAGAGAAAAATAACTTTAGCCACATATTTGTTACTTTAAACGGAGGTAGTAT